AAATTCTCTTGCCACTAAATTTTTTTTTTTCAAGAACGATGACGACTTTAGTTCAAGTCTATCTTTTTTATCAGTGTAGTTATTTTCTATTATATAATATATAATTTTATTATTACTATTTAATTATATAAAAAACTGTTTTTTTAATTATATTTTTTTTTTCTCCCTATTGATTATCCATACGATATTTGATATCAAAATTCATTTAATTTTAGATTACTGTAATCTGCAAAATGGAGGCACCAGATTGAAATAAAAAAGTTATTGTCAGCTTCTGGTATTGTCTGTAAAATATTACTCTAGAACCTTTTAATGTAAATTCCGCCAGTGACATCCTTATTATAGCGCAGATTATACAGATTATAATCTTTGTTTTTTCTTTATTGTTTTTCGTAGTTCCAATTTTCGGAATCGGGCACTAGTTAGGTGACTAGTTTGCGCACATAGCACGCCCACTTATGGCCTCTAAAATTGTGCACAGCGCCTGACCGGCACAGTTATTAGAGAGATATCGGAAAACCGAATAGCGTCATCCAGTATTTACGCGTACCTTATCATGGTTACCATATGCGCGAGTCAATTTTTAACGCAACACCCGCTAATAACGTTACCGCCTGACGTAATTTGCAGATCAATTACACCAAGCACTCTTTCTAAATAACCTCTGATAACGGTTAAAAATTGCTTAAATGGGCATGTGCGGGTATTTGACAACTGGAGCCGGCCGGCGAGATCTTTTATTTTAGGTTATGTTTGAATTGTTTTGAATTATTGCTTTAGTTTTATTAGGTAATTTGATATTTAAGTAGCTGGGATTAGTTTTAATTAAATAATATGGCCCAAAATATGGATTCCACCTCTTCCAATACTAAATAACCTATAAAGAGTGTTAGGTTTACAGCAGATGACGACTTAGCCCTTCTAAGAGAATTTGTTGCTTGTTGCCCTACACCCACTGGCAGACGTTGAACAATAAAGTACTGGAAATAAGCCCTTTGGCCCTTTAGTTTTAAAATACCTCTCTCTCTCGTCTGGTTTTGGCTCTGCTACTAGGCAATTGCCAGCTCAATTTCATGATGACCTCAATGTTGTCTGGCTGTACACCATATTGGGGCCATCTACCATTCCACAATAATCAAAACAAAAAAAAAGGTCCTTATATGATCATTTCGAAAGCTTCTCCCACGCTGGTAGCATCCGGCTACATAGGGCCTGGTTACCCCCGTGACAACGTGAAAAAAGAGTTGTCCTTTAATAAATTTTCTCATGGCACTTCAAAGTAGGCGAACTTGTATAAAAATGTTCATGGCACTTATAGTAGGCGAACTTTAAAAATGTTTCACAAAAATATGTATCTGAATGGGACATGAATCCACTTTAAAACTTTTTTACCAAAAAATATTAAGCTTTTACAAAACGATTACAAGAATATTAACAGAAAACAAGAAACAAAAATTGACTCCCGAACAACCAACCATCAGACAGTATTCGATGTTGCCACGACGACTGACCGAACGGAAGTGTTTAAAATACCTAGTAAACAAAACAATTTCAAAGTTTTAATTTCAAAGTTAGGTTAAGTTTAAATAGCGGACGCGACGCGATCAGAATTCTTTCCGATCCGATAACTATAAATGAAGAGACTTGTTGACATACCAACTCATGTAAAGGAAATAACACCTGGCCTTATTAACGTCCATGCACGCTATTCGGTTTAGCGATATCTCTCTATTACGCTGTTTATTGTTATTTTACGCGAGTTTATTTTTGCGCACAGGAAATTTGACTCGTTTGCACATCGTCATAAAAACAATTTTCGTACCACGAATTAGGGACAAGATTTTACTAATAATATAGGATATGTATACTTATAGGATACCTAATCTGTGATTATAGTGAAGGTAAATTTGTAAAAGACGTTATTTACTAATTAATAATTATCATACCGGACACACATTTAAAATGCTCCATTAGTAAAAAAACTAATGTTAATCATTATAACTGTTTGTTTAAATTAGCAGTGTTGAATGGGAATATAACTTTATGAGAGGATTGGCTATTTTTTCGGCAAAATTTTATCTTTATATTTACCCGGTACGTGGGTATACAAAAAAGGCATAAAAATAAAATAACCAGCCAAAAATCCGTAGTTTTCGTCGTGGTCGTGTATAATAATGGCCGCTTTATCGTGACACCGGAAACATAAACATTAAGCGTCATCTTGCAGTATATTTTTCACGAATTTTGACGCAATCTAGGACGACTTCTTCAGTGTAAAACGGTAATTTTTCATTGGATAACAAAACTTTTTTAGTGGTTTATTATAAATTCGTAAAAAAGGTAGTTTTAAATTTTAGCGAAAAAAATATCCGTCATACCTAAATGTATTAATTTTTCTAGTTCTATTTGTTAAGTTCATTCTATATATATAAACGGGATTTGGTTTAAGTATTTAATACTCATTTCCAACTACAGCCTATTGCTGCCTTCCCGTTACCCTACGCCACACATCTCGATTTAGAGCGTCATCAGCTTCTAGGTTACGAGCTTCCATTGCTTCCGTAACCGTTCCGTTCCAGGATTTTCTAGGTCTACCTCTCTTTCTTCTGCCCTGGGAGCCCATTGAAAAACTCTTTTTTTGCCACCTGTTCTCCGGCATACGCAGAACATGTCCAAACCATTTTAAGCTGGATTTTCGATTCGATCCAGTACTGTCACCTCCGATGCATTCATGATACGCCTGACCTCGATGTTTGTCTTTTTTCCATCCTAGATATACCTGCACTTCTTCCAGCAGTCCATTTCAACAACTTGGATTTTGCGCTTCGCGTCTGCACTCAGAGTCCATAGCAAAGAACTGACTCTACCAATGTTCTTCCAAGTCTCTTTTTAGTTGTTGCAGACAAGTTTCGGTCCCACCAGAGGCTGTTAAGACATCCAATAACTAGTTTACTCTTCTGAATTCGGGTTTGTATTTCTACTTTGCCCAAACCCTCGTTGTTGATAGTAGCACCCAGGTATTTATGGTTGTTGTTGAATCTGGACGTTATCATTAATGAAGACTTCAAAACAAGCGTTGGAATTGACAGCTATGTATTCGGTCTTCTTTAGACTAACCTGAAGTCCCTATTTGTTGTATTCTTGATAAAGCCTCTTAGTCATGAACTCTAGATCGTATGAGTCCTGCGCAATCACGACCTGATCGTCTGCAAAGCTCAGGGTAAATAGTGTGTTGTCCTCAATGGGTATTCCCATACCTTGACATTTCGTCTTCCATTCCCTAAGGGCTAATTCGACGTAAGCGTTGAAGATCAGAGGAGATAAGCTGCATCCTTGTCGCAACCCTTTTGTGGTGTTAATTGGATTAGATAGCCTGTGTCCTATCTTAACGTACGATTCATTTTCTTTATATAGCTATTTTATTATCTTAAGCAAAGGTCTATCTACTTCTAAGATATTCAATACTTCCCATATCTTGCTGCGGGGAATAGAGTCGTACGCTTTCTCCAAATCAATAAATGCTAGATGGACTTCTTGATCTACTGCTATCTTTTTTTCCATCACCTGCTGCAGGACAAAAAGGTTATCTGTGAAAGATTTCCCCGGTGTGAATCCGCTTTGGTCTTCCGAGATTTGTCACCAATACTGTCCCTGAGCCTACCCTGTAGCACCTTTCCAAAAAGTCTGCTGACCGAACTGTTAATGCTTAGGCCTCTATAACAAGTGGGGTCGTTACGATTTCCCTTTTTAAATATGGACACTATGTGAGCCACTCGCCATTCTCGGGGTAGTTTACTTTGCAGGCAGCACTGGTTAAATAGCTCTGCCAGACGCCAGCGCAGTCTTTGGGTTCCACACTTTAACAATTCGGCTACAATATTACCAGGACCTGGTGACCGTCCATTTTTCATTCTTTTGAGACTTTGATGTACTTCTCTTTCGCTTATCATTAAGCTCATTCTGATTCTGAAAAGTTCATTCTGAAAGTTCATTCTGATAAATAATAATTTTTAAGATAAAAGAAATCAAACAGAAAATCGGTAGAAAACTACGTCCTCCGAGTTTCCTAAATTTTTAACATGTCTGCTCGAAATAGCTAAAGGCTCAGGTTGGACTATCCATTTTACACCTTCAGTACAAGGAGAAAAAGTCAACGAACCTTCATAAAAGAAGTAATTCTTGTAAAATACCGGTGTAAGGAATTTTATAGGAAATGGGCAGATCATAACGCAGTTCATTGGAAACTTAAGATGTTTCAGTGATTGAATAAATGGTTCTAGATATGGGTTATCAATAGGAGTAGTCATAAAGAGGTAACTCAACATTAATAACATTCCTTGTCTTGCTGACTCCATAATATAACAACTACAATTTCCATTCTGTGCAAAACTAACTTGCATCTCGACAGCGTACCTTTTTGTATTAACCATATGTTCTGATCCATCGTCATCCATATTTCCCCATCGAAATCTAATGTTGAAAAACTCGTAAACGTCACTTTCTAAAGGTCCTCCTGTTATCTTGGGCTGCTTGTCTCCATTCCATTTCGTGTACAGCACCGCATTCAAACCGCTTTTATACAATTCCATTTCACAAGGCGCACAAATAAACTCTTCTGAAAACTGAAGCGGGTCGAATGCAGATAGTATCGTGATAGCACATGAAGTTATTAGACTATGATGAGTTATAACTCATTATAACTCAAGAAAGGGGGACACACAATAGATCTGTAAGGTCGCGGTGATTAACATCCTTCCCACACATTCTACATTCTACTTGCATCTAGAAAGCATACCTAATTGTATTAATCATTTGTTCTGATCCATCGTCATCTCTATTTTACCTTGGAGATTTAATGTTGGAAAACTTATAAACACCATTTGCTAAAAGTACTTCTGTTAGCAGGAATTGTTAATTAAAATATCCAAACGAGTAATACTAAAAAACCTATTTAAATATTTAATATTCTTTATTTTCTCATTATTGTAAATTACATGTATATGTTTTTATTTAGTCATAAAAGAATATTTCTCTTCCATTGGGCAGTTGTACAGGTCTGGAATTACAAGTTATTGGTAGGAAACTACGTCCACCGAGTTTCCTGAATTTTTTAACTTGTCTGCTCGAAGTAGCTAAAGGCTCAGGTTGGACGATCCATTTTACACCTTCGGTATAAGGAGGAAAAGTCAACGAACCTTCATAAAAGAAGTAATTCTTGGAAAATACCGGTGTAAGGAATTTTATGGGAAATGGGCAGATCATAACGCAGTTCATTGGAAACTTAAGATGTTTCAGTGATTGAATAAGTGGTTCTAGATATGGGTTATCAATAGGAGTAGTCATGAAGAGGTAACTCAACATTAATAACTTTCCTTGTCTTGCTGACTCCATAATATAACAACTACAATTTCCATTCAGTCCAAAACTAACTTGCATCTCGACAGCGTACCTTTTTGTATTAACCATATGTTCTGATCCATCGTCATCTGTATTGCCCCATCGAAATCTAATGTTGAAAAACTCGTAAACGTCACTTTCTATAGGTCCTCCTGTTATCTTGGGCTGCTTGTCTCCACTCCATTTCGTGTACAGCACCGCATTCAAACCGCTGTTATACAATTCCATTTCACAAGGCACACAAATAAACTCTTCTGAAAACTGAAGCGGGTCGAATGCAGATAGTATCGTGATAGCACATGAAGTTATTAGATTATGATGAGTTATAACTCATTATAACTCAAGAAAGGGGGACACACAATAGATCTGTGAGGTCGCGGTGATTAACATCCTTCCCACACATTCTACATTTTACTTGCATCCAGACGCATACCTAATTGTATTAATCATTTGTTCTGATCCATCGTCATCTCTATTTTACCTTGGAGATTTAATGTTGGAAAACTTATAAACACCATTTGCTAAAAGTACTTCTGTTAGCAGGAATTGTTAATTAAAATATCCAAACGAGTAATACTAAAAAAACCATTTAAATATTTAATATTCTTTATTTTCTCATTATTATAAAGTACATGTATATGTTTTTATTTAGTCATAAAAGAATATTTCTCTTCCATTGGGCAGTTGTACAGGTCTGGAATTACAAGTTATTGGTAGGAAACTACGTCCACCGAGTTTCCTGAATTTTTTAACTTGTCTGCTCGAAATAGCTAAAGGCTCAGGTTGGACTATCCATTTTACACCTTCAGTACAAAGAGGAAAATTCAGCGAACCTTCATAAAAGAAGTAATTCTTGGAAAATACCGGTGTAAGGAACTTTATGGGAAATGGGCAAATCATAACGCAGTTCATTGGAAACTTAAGATGCTTCAGCGATTGAATAAGTGGTTCTAGATATGGGTTATCAATAGAAGTAGTCATGAAGAGGTAACTCAACATTAGTAACATTTCTTGTCTAGCTGACTCCATAATATCACAACTACAATTTCCATTCTGTACAAAACTAACTTGCATCTCGACAGCGTACCTTTTTGTATTAACCATATGTTCTGATCCATCTTCATCCGTATTGCCCCATCGAAATCTAATGTTGAAAAACTCGTAAACGTCACTTTCTAAAGGTTCTCCTGTTATCTTGGGCCGCTTGTCTCCACTCCATTTTGTGTACAGCACCGCATTCAAACCGCTGTTATACAATTCCATTTCCCAAGGCGCACAAATAAACTCTTTTGAAAACTGAAGCGGGCCGAATTCCGAATCGTAATAGCACATAAAGTTATTAGACTATGATGAGTTATAACTTATTATAACTCAAGAAAGGGGGACACACAATAGATCTGTAAGGTCGTGGTGACTAACCCCCCTCCCACACTTTCTACTTTCTACTTGAATCTAGACAGCGTACCTTTTTGTATTAATCATATGTTCTAATCCATCCTTATCTCTATTTTTTTATGGACATTTAATGTTGGAAAACTCATAAACATCATTTGCTAGAAGTCCTTCTTTAACTATCTATATCCAAACGAGGAATACTAAAAGGCCTATTTAAATATTTAATATTCTTTATTTTCTCATTATTATAAAGTACATGTAGATATATGTTTTTATTTAGTCATAAAAGAATATTTCTCTTCCATTCGGTAGTTGTACAGGTCTGGAATTACAAGTTATTGGTAGGAAACTACGTCCACCGAGTTTCCTGAATTTTTTAACTTGTCTGCTCGAAATAGCTAAAGGCTCAGGTTGGACTATCCATTTTACACCTTCAGTACAAGGAGGAAAAGTCAACGAACCTTCATAAAAGAAGTAATTCTTGGAAAATACCGGTGTAAGGAATTTTATGGGAAATGGGCAGATCATAACGCAGTTCATTGGAAACTTAAGATGTTTCAGTGATTGAATAAGTGGTTCTAGATATGGGTTATCAATAGGAGTAGTCATGAAGAGGTAACTCAACATTAATAACTTTCCTTGTCTAGCTGACTCCATAATATCACAACTACAATTTCCATTTAGTACAAAACTAACTTGCATCTCGACAGCGTACCTTTTTGTATTAACCATATGTTCTGATCCATCGTCATCCGTATTGCCCCATCGAAATCTAATATTGAAAAACTCGTAAACGTCACTTTCTAAAGGTCCTCCTGTTATCTTGGGCTGCTTGTCTCCATTCCATTTCGTGTACAGCACCGCATTCAAACCGCTGTTATACAATTCCATTTCACAAGGCGCACAAATAAACTCTTCTGAAAACTGAAGCGGGTCGAATGCAGATAGTATCGTGATAGCGCATGAAGTTATTAGACTATGATGAGTTATAACTCATTATAACTCAAGAAAGGGGGACACACAATAGATCTGTGAGGTCGCGGTGATTAACATTCTTCCCACACATTCTACATTCTACTTGCATCTAGACGCATACCTAATTGTATTAATCATTTGTTCTGATCCATCGTCATCTCTATTTTACCTTGGAGATTTAATGTTGGAAAACTTATAAACACCATTTGCTAAAAGTACTTCTGTTAGCAGGAATTGTTAATTAAAATACCCAAACGAGTAATACTAAAAAACCTATTTAAATATTTAATATTCTTTATTTTCTCATTATTATAAAGTACATGTATATGTTTTTATTTAGTCATAAAAGAATATTTCTCTTCCATTGGGCAGTTGTACAGGTCTGGAATTACAAGTTATTGGTAGGAAACTACGTCCACCGAGTTTCCTGAATTTTTTAACTTGTCTGCTCGAAATAGCTAAAGGCTCAGGTTGGACTATCCATTTTACACCTTCAGTACAAGGAGGAAAAGTTAACGAACCTTCATAAAAAAAGTAATTCTTGGAAAATACCGGTGTAAGGAATTTTATGGGAAATGGGCAGATCATAACGCAGTTCATTGGAAACTTAAGATGTTTCAGTGATTGAATAAGTGGTTCTAGATATGGGTTATCAATAGGAGTAGTCATGAAGAGGTAACTCAACATTAATAACTTTCCTTGTCTAGCTGACTCCATAATATCACAACTACAATTTCCATTCAGTACAAAACTAACTTGCATCTCGACAGCGTACCTTTTTGTATTAACCATATGTTCTGATCCATCGTCATCCGTATTGCCCCATCGAAATCTAATGTTGAAAAACTCGTAAACGTCACTTTCTAAAGGTCCTCCTGTTATCTTGGGCCGCTTGTCTCCACTCCATTTCGTGTACAGCACCGCATTCAAGCCGCTGTTATACAATTTCATTTCGCAAGGCGCACAAAAAAACTCTTCTGAAAATTGAAGCGGGTTGAATTCAGATGGTATCGTAATAGCACATGCGGTTATTAGATTGATTGGTGATTGTTTCTGACCAGCCGCATCGGTAAATAGATCTTTCCAAACAGATGGTCCATTGTGGTGCTCGTACCCGTAATTAATAAGTTTTTTGGTGTCGTAGCCTCTGCTTGTATTCAGTTTGCTGAACATGTCGTTAAGGTATAACGCACCACAAATAAAGGCAGCTACGGCTAGATAATAAAATAATCCCACTTTATCTGGGAGATAGTTGCCAATACAATCCATAACGGAAATTTTGTAGAAACTTATTCGAATATTCTGTTTGACAAAATCTTATCAAAAAATGTCAAACTGGAACTTCATTAAATTTAAATCAGGTTAATGTCAGTATGACAGTGACGCTAATGTTTTAAAAAGAAACGAGAGATGTTTTTTGAAACACCCTGTATAATCTAACTGACACACCATTGACAATGACAAATAATTTATTTATGGAGGTATTGTGTGTAGGTGTTTTTCAGGTATGTTTTAGTATTTACCCATAGACAAACAAATAAAAAGAGACTGGCAAATTAAATGGCAACGAGAGGGACAACGTTCCCGTAGCGCAACTCAGAACGCAATATTTCGTTCTATTTATGTTGATCTGCGCATTGCGTCTATTGGGCCCACTATCTCATTCTAATATAACAAGAGAGAAAGAAGCAGCCATATAAAACGTAATTTATAAATAGAAATTAGAACAATCGCCTTTCGTTTTCGTCATCATGACAACGTGATGACAATTCGTCATGTTTGTTAATTTTTGTTTTGGTGATTTACCTTTTTTTCTAAACTCTCCATTTCATTGACTTATGAATATGGATAGGGAACAAATTCCTTTGTTCCATATAGATATTTATATTTTGTTACTTATAATTTTAGGTTATACTATTTATTATTTTATTTGCTGCAGGAGCCAGTATCATCTATTTTTTATATGTATTGGTGCCCCCTTTCTCTGATAGATATGTTAAAGACACCTGGTAAAATAAAAGTAAGTAGTTATATTTATCATCTTATTAAGAAAAAAGTAGAAGTAGTATCAAAAATATTTCGAACCTCTCTTAACACAACAAATTAATACAATTAACTTTTTTCATTTTTTGGGTAGGTAGTTTATAGCTGGTTTATAGTAACCAGGAACTTTATTAATATACCTATTTTACTTTTGTTTTAGGATTAAAACTGAACTTAAAAATGGTTTAGGATCATGATTCTCGTAAAGTCTTCTTTGCTTGGATATTCAGTTTTTTTCGAAAATGAGATTTTTAATGCCTTTTAAAAAAATTGGCCGATCGTTTCCTGCAACAGTCAGTTCTTCTGCATTTAAAATTGGTAGGTGGGTGGAATAAACACTGTTATTTTTTGTTATTATATTATAAAAAGTTTATTTATTTTTATGTATAAATAAATATGTTAATAAAACAGTACAATTTTTGCTTTTTCTTTAATTTCCCTTATAATAGTAGTATTCTTTCGTTCTGAAAGAAACTGCAAATATTCACTGATTTATTCCCTACACCACGTTCCCTTTACGTGGTATAGGGAATAAATCAGTTTAAGTGAAAATTTTCACTTTCAGAATGAAAGAATACTACTAATAATGGTTAATTTAAATTTTCCGCCAGCCAGAATGTGCGATAATGTCTTACGATACGTTTTATACCTATCTCTTTCTTTTTCATATAAAACACACATAATAAAGAAAGATAGTAATAAAGACGTACGTCCTGCCATGGTCCTGCTAATTGGTTTCCAAATTGTTATTCTGAGTTGCGCTACGGGAACGCGGTCCCACTCTTTACCATGGGATTTGTCAGTCTCTTTTTATTTGTTTGCCTATGTATTTACCCAAGTAGCATCTATCTGACTTCGAACTAAATCTGACCTGAAGCGACGTCCGGTCAGACCTTTATTTTTTTCGTAGAATCTAAAAATCGATTAATATATAGGGTGTTCCATTACAAAAAACACAACTTTGATGTGTAACTTTTTTTGGGACACCCCGCAGAACTCATATTTTTTAACATATTTTCAAAAAATGCCTTTAAGTGATCTACATACGCTCTCAAAATTTCATTTCAATATCTACTGATGTTCTCCTTGGAGCCTCCGCGGCGTATGAGAGGCGCCACCCTGTATACTATCTTAAAAAAGTGACTGCCCATTTTTTTAAGGAGAAAACAAAAACTAAAATATAGTTGCACAAATGCACAAATCACTGATACGCAAAGTGAGGTTACGTGGCGTACGTTGGAATTATATACGTCATAATACGATTGCCGGTCGTCCGGTTTGATGACTTCGGTCGTGTGAGACGACTAATTTTGGAAACCCGGTCGGAATTGGTATATTGGTAGTTCATATTAAGTCGGACACAGAAATCCGCCATTCTTAACAAGTATTCTATTGTCAGCCATTTTAAAATCGTTTTTTGTTTTTAAAATTCATATTCACATTCCGATTTCTAGTAGAATAATAGGGAGTTTTCGTTGCTTTAAAAAAATTCAACGGTACGGTTAACAGATACGTAACCATAACCGCTATTTTGACAGATAAAAAAACAGTTTTCGGACTTTCGGTTCATTGGTTCGGAGCCGACATACGATACGATAACCGAAAACTGACAGCTGAGCACAGCCCGTAGCGTAGTGTTATGATTTTTGGTTTTTGTATTGTGGTTTGATTTGAAAGTGCTTTATATGACTTTATTGGGTATCGCTATATAGGATGGACAATTTAATTTTATTGGACTCTACTGATGAATTGGATTTGGAGGATGCTATGCTGTTGGAAGGGTTTGAAAACAACATCGAATATCGAGCAGAACTTTATAGGGAGTTCAACCTAGAAATATTATCTGACCAAGAGTGCAAAGCTAACTTCCGCTTTGAAAAAAAAGACATTCCTCGATTAGTTGAAGCACTAAGAATTCCCAACGAGTTTAACACAGATAAAATAAATAATCAAAACATAAACAAAATAGAATGAGGTTAGGTTAGATCTGTATTTTTCAATGTTGTGTTTCTACTGCGCTAGTGCGCATGCGTACCGCTATGTTAACGGCTTTGGCTAACGTCCGTAAAATATCGGCAGCTAGCGGTTACGATATACGATAATCGAAATTGAAATGTCAAAGTTGTCAATTAGCGTTAACCGGCATTGCAATTTGTAAGCAACGAAAACTCCCTAATATTGATAAGGTTGAGTTTGGGGGAATCACAGTACAGTTTTATGATTAAACCAGCTAGAAAATAAAAAAAAATATTTTGCGAGTTACTTTTTTATTTCATAAATCTACGTAAATTTGACCAAAAATTTCTTCGTTGCGTTTTTTTGGCATCTGAGTGTAGTATAGAACGTTAAAGAGAGAGAAAAATGACCGACATATAAACGAAATATATCTCGATATATTTCGTTTTCTAGGGTTGAAAGGGCTTCGGGATTCCGCAAGTCATAGAAAGCCGGTGGGTGGCGACGATAAGCGTCGACCGGGGTGTTGATAAAAGGGCTTAAAAGGCCGCCCGGGACGAGTCGTAAGCGATGATGCGACGCCGCCTGTCGTTATTTATTATCCTCGTTAGGTTTTTGCGGCGCGTCGTCGTCACTCCCTTTCGCAGCGCCGCCACTGGCCGCTCGAACAATATGTGCCACCGACGAGGGTGTTAAAAGAATACTTTCGTGTGAATCATCTGCCGATTTTTATCTAATGCAGGTGATTTTTGATTTTCTATTATAAATGTCGATAATGCGTATCAGATATTAATCAGTAGAGTAGGTGCGTTAAAAATTGAAACTCCTTTTCAATTACGTTGGTAAAGATGCATTTGTTCAAGAAAATTTACGCCTAAAAAAGCTTATTCTTAGAAATACGAAAAAAATGAGGCAAGATACTCTTGGAATGAATAAAAATCGTTTTCTTTATTAAGAATTTTAACCTTGAAGTTGTAATCTTCATTATTTGTCATAGGAAATGTCATTATTCGCGGCAAGGATTCTACGCTGTGTCTACGCTTCTTCTTCTTTGACATGCCTACAACCATTAAAATAGAATAAAGTCCGAATAGTAGCAGCGACGCGACGCCGCGCCATTCCAGTGTAAAATAGTGATGGGCAAAACTGTTATTTTTAGATAACAGTTGAAACTGTTATAGTTATTTATAAAAAACAGCTTAAAATAACAGCTTAAAAATAACAGGTTTCTTTATTTTACTGCTAAATATCTGAAAGAGTATGAGACGGTCACCGCCAGGCGTATTAACGCAGTTGCAAGTTGCAACAATGACGTGCTCGGTGGTAGTATTTCAAGGGTGTCAAAACATTTCTAAATATCGATTGTTATCTAAAATACCTCTCTAAAAACGGTGGTTGTTTACAAATAAGCGCTGTTTACAAATTGCGATATAAAAAAGCCAAAATTCCGCCACTCGTCTATACCTATACATTCCGATCTACCTACGCCCTGCCCCTCGATCCGCGTAGATCCTGAATTGCGTAGCAGTGTACAGGGTACATCTCACTCGACGGGCGAGAAGCTCTTAGTTATGATTTTACCATTTGCGGTCAAAAAATAGCAATATAAGAAAATGTGTAGTATATTCTTCATAAGTAAACCAACTACACACTAGAGTTCGAATTAATTTTACACTTAAACTAGCGTGTACCCGCGACTTCGCGTCGAATTAATAATTTCTAATGGTGATGATAAAGCAAAACAAGAATTTCCATTGACATACAAACTGGATAAAATTTTCTCACATTTGCCAAAAATAAGCTTTCTAACGTCGAGCAGTTTAAACAGAATCGTGGTTAATCAATTACTCAACTTTTTGGAACACCCTGTATGATTTTTTAAAAAATATGTAAAAAAAACAAAATAAATTATGCGTGTCCAGAGGTTTTCCCGAAAGACTAACCGTTTTTTAAATAACAAATATTGTAATATTTGAGGGGCGTTTTCACCCTGTTGGAATTTGAGATTCGAGAAACCCCTCCTTATCGAACCTCAACCCCACAGTCAATCCGTTTGCAAAAAATCAGCTTTAAACGTCCATCAGTTTAAGCAGAATAGTGATTACTCAATGGTCATATTTTATGAAACACCCTGTATATATTTTTAAAAATCTTAAAATATGTAAAACAACATAATAAAATATACGTGTTTTAAGAGTTTTTCCGAAAACTCACCGGTTTTTAAATAAAAAATATTCTAATATTTCAGAGTAGTTTCACCCCCTTAGAATTCGAGTTTCGAAAAAATCCCTTCTTATCGAACCTCTACACACTAAAGTCAATCCGTTTTCCAAAAATCAGC